TGGATTCAGCCCATTTATCCAGCCTGTTCAGATCCCTCTGCAGAGCCCTTCCGCCTTCCAGTAGATCAACACTCCCCCACAACTTGGTGTCATCTGCAAATTTGCTAAGGGTAGACTCGATCTCCTCATCCAAGTTTTCAGTGTTTGTTTCCATTTTGTTGCATCTCTACGAGACCTAGTTCTCTGAGGCTGCTAAGAATCCGAAAACTGTATTTAAGGAGAACTCCCATTAACATGCAACCATGTGAATATCAGACCATAATCTCCAGTTGTATAGAGGTTAATCAGTAAAGACTGTCACTTCAGTGCAGAGTCGCCATTTTCTGGTCATTAAAACAGCTCCTGAAAGATTAGATCTTGAAAATCCCACTAGTATCTTCCTTACTTTTCCCAAGCAAGAAGGTGCTGGGACTATCCAGAGGCATGGATATGCATTTTATAACTATTTTATTTGTGAAAATTATTTGTAAAAGGAATTTAAATGCTTTTGTAGTTTAAGCAACATACTGGAGTAAATTTACAGGCATCAGTAAATCCAGTTTAAATACTTCTGTAAAATAGGTAACCATTATTATAACATCTGAGGGAAAGATGATCTCATTTGCAGTATCTGGCAAAGTCAAAAGAGATTTTATTCTTCTGACTCAAAAGGATCTGGTTCAGCACAGCTAGTCTAGACATGGTCTACAGATGCATAAGCAAAGAGAAGATCTAAGAACAACACACTTAAAGGTGACAGCCTTTGATCTAGAGTGCCACAAGGGAGTATTTATAGAACAAAAATCTATCTAAAGTGCTTTCAAGTTTCTTGGGCCCTATCCACACTCCTCTCAAGAACTTAGAGAAGACTGGTCACAATCTAGGAGTTCCAATACACATTGTCTATTCAGACCAAACAAGGCCTTAGAAATGGCAGCCAGCAATTCACATAAACATTTTTGGGCACTCTGACTCTTAAAAAAAAGTTGCTATTGAATTGAGGCACAAGAATTCTGCCCATGCTAGTGGTAATTTTGAAACTAACTTTTCTTTCATCTGATAGAGACCTGATATTTTGGGAAAAGATGTATGTGTGAACAGATTGAATTGTACGACTAGACCTTTCTCCAACAAAATACGTTTTCCCAGTAATTTAATATTTTCCCCCCTCTGAATGCTTTAGCTTTTCTCCAGGTCTCCCCACAGTTCTTGATTCACTTCACATGATGTCAGTTCTCTTTTCCTCTTGTAAATGTTGAAGTCCAAGGCCTCTGTCCTCACAAAACAGTTAGTAAGGAGTGATCTTTTTCTAATAATCAGACCAACCATGCCAGTCAGACACCTGAACTTAGGGTGTTGTCCATCCTCTACAAGATACAAGTCAGCAGGGATTTTGCCAATTGCACTATGATCCTCTTTGGCTATTCCCATCCTAATTCTGAAAGCACCTTTTCCCAAAGAATTAATTTGTCTAACAACCATAAATTACACACACTGCATTT